TGAAGCTAAAAGCATCTCTTTTAAGGCAAGCCATTTCCCCCAGGGAGTTTGCAGCTTGGAGCAAAGGCAGGACAATAAAAGATCAAGGATGTCTTTCTAAGACTGCAAACAGAGCAGCTGACACATTCAAGTTGGTCTGCTTTTGACCTCTTTAAATGCCAGGACAGCGGCAAAGTGCCCACATCACATCTGTTATAAGCTGGCCACCCATCTTTTTTTATTTTAAACCACAAACTCCGACTGTTTGTAGAGAACCGGCAGGGAAGGACAGCCTGGGAGATCAGGCCCCTGTTTCAGCTGGTGTCACTCAAGCCTGTCTTCCCCAGAGTAGTTTTCTGTACTTCCGTCTTTCCCCTGTCTGTCCCACTCTGGAAGTCTGTCCCTCTCCCTGCTCTTACCTCTAATGGTTTCGGCACCTTCATTTTCAAATGCTAATGAAAATCGCGCTAGGCTGGGCAAATGAACAACTCCAGGGTAACCTTTCTCCCATTGTCTCTCCTGTAGTTGGTAGTTAGACCTTGGAACTGATTCCAGCAGCACTGAGGTCACAGCTACTGCTAAAGCTAAATCCCACTTCGACTTTGTTTAGGAGGTGGTCCTTTGTCATTTTCATCTCCAGATAGAACCTCTGGAAACCTCTGTTTTCCCAGAGGTAAAATAATAAAAAAAGAAGTAGCCCAAGGTGAGTGCACACAGGTGGATGAGGTCTCTTGTTGAGGGCAGAAGGGGTCTGTGAGTGCTGGGTCCTCCTTGTGAGCACGGTCATCGTGTCCTGCAAACAGAGCTTAGTGAAGTTACATCCACCTGTTGTGGTTTTCCCAAGAGGGAGAAAGAAATGACTGGGACTCTACTAACGACCATTAGCAGCACACTTTGGGTTGGGTCTCTCAAACTTTAACAGGCATACAGATCCTCCTGACTTTAAAATGCAGATCTCCTTTCAGTCTGGTCTCAGACAGAGCCTGCATTTCTACCAGGCACCTTGGTGATGTTGAGGCCACTGATCCCATGCACATTTTGAGTAGCGAGGGGTTGGGTTTTTGTTTACCTGCCTTCCTACCCTCAGCTGGACTATGTCATTTTATCAAAACAATATAGTAGGAGTGATACCCAATTATTAGCCTCCTGAATCATCCATTGTTAGAGCTATTTCTTGCAGCTACATTAAAAAAGCCCCTCCCGGTAGTTCCCCATTGCACAAGAAGCCCATTTGTAGCAAGACACTTCAGGCAAGCAAGCCACTATGCAAAACATTTTTGGCTCTTTCTGCTGCCTGACAGGTGGCTGCTGGTTGATGTTGGAATAGGAAGTTTTATATGATAGCGTTGACGGTGCTGATTCTGAAGGGGATGAGGAGTACTTTGCTGTGGCAGCTTTAGCTCCCACTCAATGCCCGCTCCCACCCCCCCAGGCTTATGGGAAAGATGAGGTGGAAGCTGGGAGAGAAGCATCGGGCCATGCTCTGCAGACTGGGGGATATTATTTTTCACTTTCTCTGCTACAGGGCTTCCCACGCCTTTTATAAATATTTATAGGACAATTTCCTTCTTGAGAGTGCCCAAGAGTGGGGGATGGTGAGGAGGATGGTTGAACTGGGAAAGTAGGGAAAAGGTGGTGCTCACATGTATGAAGATTAGAAGGTGGCAGAAAGCTCCAGAGGGCTCATTCCAGGCCAGTCCCATCACTTGCAAGAAGAGGAGTTGGACTAGACTAGAGATATTAAGTCTGGGGGCAGGGGTTTAAATTAGCAACTCCAGTCCATAGATTTCAACTGATTCTCAGAAGGTCCCTGATTCACAAAAGGTTAATCAGCACCAACCAGGATCATTTCCTAGCCCCTCCCAGAATGGATATTTAGAGTGCTAGGCTTCAAGAAATGGCAGACATCAAGCTCAGGTCGTGGGATTCAGAGGGCCAAGACAGCCACTTAGAATCATTTTCTAGCAGAGGCGAAAGGGGCTCAGCTGTCGGCAACCCCATTTTACAGAGGGAAAGCTGAGGTACAGTCAACTCAAGTGACTCTCCTAAACCACGGGGTCAGAAGATAAGTCTGGCTTAGAATCCAGGCCTGGCACAGGGAACACTGGTCTGCACTGGCCGAAAAGCCCCTTCAATCAGGCCGTCGCCTGGGAAGGGCAAGACATTTGTGGCCACAGCGCCAGGAGCCCCGCTGGTTATTTCTAGCTTGCTGAATGTCAAAAATCCAGGCCGCTTCTCACAGCAGCCTCCACTTGTCAGACCAAATCAAGGCATCCACGCGTCAAGCAGGCGAATCAGCTGCCTCCAGCACTGGCCTCGCTGCGCCCGCCCAGCGCGGTGCACCTGACCTTGTCCGGATGCAGCCGGCCAGCGAGCCCCGCCCCCGCGCCCAGGGCGACTGCTCCCACCTGCAGCCCCCGCGGTTTCTCCGTGTGGAGCCCGCTTGGCAGCCTGCCTTGGCCGACTGTGACCACAACAGCCAGCCTCCCACGGCCTTTGACCCTAGAGAGGGATTGGGTAGAACCCTCTGCCTGCTCTCTGTTCCGGTTTGGAATTTCCCACCTTCACTTGCTTTTCTTCTCAACACACTTCTCACCCTGCAGCCCAGTTCCTTTTTAGGTCCAAATCAGCAAGCTTGTTTGTGTCTGCAGAATCCTGTTTCACAGCAATTGCAAGGCAACACTAGTCCTGAGTGTCTGCTGTTAGTTTCTTGTCCCAACTTCTCTTCATTGAATATTGGAGCAACTGCTGGCTAGGCTTTGGATACAGCAGACTGACCTTGACCCTCAGGGAGCCCACAATCTTCTGGGGGAAGAGAAGGTGATGTTTTAAGCTGTGATTTGATGGTTGCTATGGAGTTTGCTAGAGGAAATGGGGGTTGGGGGCAAGGATCATCGCAGGCAGAGAGAACACCGCAAGGTGTAAGGCCTGAAAGAAGGCAGAGGGGCCACCCAGGTAAAGAGACGGGAGCAATTAGCATGTGATGAGTTGGGAAAAAGACAGAAAGGGACTTGTGAGCCAGAGAAAGGAATGTAGACTTTATCCTGACAATTCAGGGCTTTGGAGGGGGGTTTACCATTTGGTTTGGTTTTGGTTTTTTGTTTGTATGGTTTGCCTTGGAGGGTTTTTAACAAAGAAGTGACCAATCAGATTTGATTTATAGGTGGGCCTGGAGGCCCTGTAAGTCCCAATACAGGGTCAGTAGCAGCATTTTCAAGGGCAGGGGCTATGTTCTCCCACTTGGGGCTCAAATTGGGGCTCCTACTTGGGGTGATTTCTTCACCCCTTCCCTGATGCTTTTTTCCTACACCCACCCCCACTGTGACTGGTTTGTTCTTTGGCGTCCTACTGGCCCTTCCTAAACTTTAGTCAAGATACTAGGTTGACAGTATTCCCAATCTACCACCCTGTTTTCAATCATTTATTTACTCATCTCACTTATTAGAAGTTGCTATATGCCAGGTGTTGTGCCAATCACTGGGGGGTGCGGAAGGGAAGACTCACATGTTTCCTGATCTCAAAGAGCTCAGAATTTGTCCAGTAGTTCCTCCACTTGCCCATGCACCAGAATCCTCTGTAAAGTTCTGAAAAATACAGCTGATTGAATATCACTGGACTGACTAAATTGGAATCTTTGGGGGTAGGTTCCATGGAGCCATATTATTAAAACTCCCCTCCAGGTAACTCTGCTGAGCAGTTAGAACTACTGATCTTGGGAGGGATTTCTCTGATGGCTGTTTGTCTACATGGTCGATGGGGAGAACAAACCCAGAGTCTGGCTCCTAGTCATAAGATAGTCAGAAATCACTAGAAAGGAAGACAGGGGCAAGCTCAGTCCACTGACCTGTAAGCCTGGGACCTGCTGATATACCTGCCGAGAAGCAGGAGGGGTAGCGGTGGTGGGTAAATGGAAGGGCGGGGTAGAATGTATTTGGATGGTAGGGTGGCTGTGCCTGCCTAGAGTGGACAGCGCCTCTTCCTCAACCTAAATTGTGTAAATTGTCCAGTTAGAAAGCAGGAGACCAGCTTTCTGGCTTGTTGACACAAAGACTCCTTTTCAGCACCACCTTGATTGTCATGGTCAAGACCTAGGGATGTTCACACTGGCCAGTTTCAAATGGTGACTGTGATGAGTAACTAACAAATCAGCAAGCATGTTATACACGACCCACAAATCGCTACCAGTTATGTCTGAGTACTGGGGCAAACTAAAGCAAAGGGAGTCTGTTAGCTCACTGTTCCCAGAAGTAGACCCCATAAGTATAACCATCCTCCGGGGGATTCCAGGAAGGTGCCATCCTGTCCAATCATGTCTGGAATCTCACATCCCCAAGGATGGGTCTTCAAGGGGTTTGAAGGATTGGATTTCCAGTTCCACTTTCTGTCTCTTGGCAAAGACTGTTCTGAGAAATTTATCTGTTAAGTATTTATCTGTTGAAAGCTTACTGTTGGCCAGGTACTGTGAAGCCTCAGTGAATATACGTACAAGCCACTGGGAAGATAAGACACAATTTTGTGTAAAAGTAAATAAATACAGGACTTAGATATTTCCAGACCAACCTAGAAGAACTGGCTTGTGGTTGACTGGGGTTTTGTATCCTGACCACTTACTTGCCCAGTATATATTTGAGTGCACTATATTCCGGGTCATTTGCAGACATGTAAGGCATAGTCTTTGCTCTCAAGAAGCTCGCATTCCAATAGGGAACCCAGAATGTATCAGTATGGATATGTAACAAATAGTGTAGGCTGGGACGAGAGAGTGATTCAGTATCTGCTTTAGCATCAATAGGGCTTGTCCTGAAATATCCAACTTTTTTTTTCCATACCCTAGACGTCTTTTGGGAAGACAGCTCTGATCATTTTGGGATTCACCTTATTGGAATTAGTGGTCAGGACATTACAGCCTCTTCTATCACCATTATCAAACTTTGTGGTCTAGCCCCCTTGCTGGATTTCACTTCTCTCTCCATTCCTGTACATCACCTCCATTTCAGGTATACACCCATCTCTTCTACCAGGAACTGAGTCACTTTGGGTGGGAAGGTGATACAAAGAGAGAGAAGAAAAATGAATGAGTACCTGATCATCTCCAGAAAAGGGGTAAGGTGAGTGCCACTTAACAGTAGAGTCTCCTATATGCCAATTGTGCAAACTGTTCATGGGCGTTTGTTTGCTCTTCTTTTTTTTGTTTTTAATTTTTTTTTCAATGTTTTTTATTTATTTTTGGGACAGAGAGAGACAGAGCATGAATGGGGGAGGGGCAGAGAGAGAGGGAGACACAGAATCGGAAACAGGCTCCAGGCTCCGAGCCATCAGCCCAGAGCCTGACGCGGGGCTCGAACCCACGGACCGCGAGATCGTGACCTGGCTGAAGTCGGACGCTTATGTTTGCTCTTCTTTTAATCACTTCCCGGAAATACTGGTGATTTAAAATGACAGAAATCAGGACCATCAAGCCTAGAGAAGAGGGTGAGAAGTGATTTCCACCTGGACAAAGTCACTGCGTCCCTGTGCAGAGGCAGGCGCCCTGACCCCAGCCTGAAAGCTGAAGTTGGCTCAAAGGAGGCAGGTAGGAGGCCACTTCGTGTCTCACTGAGAGGAGGCAAGCTGTCTGGCTCCTGCTTAAAAACCTATGTGTGATTTTGTGATTTTTTAGTCCCGACCACAGGTAATTACAGAGGCTTTGCCTGGAGGGGGGTGGGGGGGTTGCGGAGAAGCTGCCCTCGCCACAGCAACCTTGGTGCATGGCCTCTATCGCATCTGGAGGGAGGTGCAGTCAAGCACTCAGGCCCCCCTCGCTGGTCACGCTCTTGGCTTCTTTGCGTTCCTAGCTGGGAGACACCTTTGTTCCCGTCTCCCTGTCTGAGGCTTGAGCAGCGGTCCTCTTCAGGTGCCCATCTCTGCTGAATCCTCCTTAGTGGAGGGAGGGATGGACGTGGGGGAGGAAACCCTGAAGACACTCTCTTCACTGTCTCAGTACCCAGTACTTTTCCACTCGGAGCCCTTCCCCCAGCCTTCTCCTCCAACCTCAGGGTCCATAAAGCTGCCTTTTCCTCAGGGCCTTCCTCATGAGTGAGACAAGCCTCACATCTACACTGATGCAGCTGCCCCTGACTGGTATGCAGTTCCATGGCAGAAAATGGAAAAGGGGATGGGCACCTTCTCTGATTTTAGACTCTTGCTTGTACTGTCACAGTGAGTGATTAAAGGCTTGTTGCTTTAATTGGCTACTCTGACTCCTGACAGCAAAGCCCTCTCTCCCTCTCTCTGAGCTGAGCTCCTGACAGGAGGGACTCCTCAAGCCCCCTACCCAGTGGGGAGCACACGCTTCAAGCATGGCCCCATTTCTGGTGGAGGCCATGTTCCTATTTCAGTTCTCCACTCCGTTTCTCTGTCTCTCTCACTCATACACAACAGTACCTGAGGACAAAAAGTTGCCACGGGGGGCTGGAAGGGAATCAGTAGGAAAGAGAGGAATAATGAAGCAGGCCCTGGCCAGATCCAGACTCAGAGACCAATTTCTTTCCATCTATGCTGCAGAGGAGGAATCAGAGTTGGCAAGGTGAGTGACTTCGCTCTGGCCACCCAACTAAAGCCCAGGTCCTGATGATTTCCAGGCTGCCTCCTTGATCTTGCAACCTCCTGCTACAGGTTCCGGGCAGGGCTGCGTCTCTGGGTGCCCAGGACTGTGCCCTGCCCTCTGTAGTCTGTCCTCTGAGGAGCCTCAGCCTCACTGGGGAAAGGGAGACTAGAGCAGGGCTCTAAACTTTGAGCAAACTCACCATCAGTCACCTGGAGGGCTGGGTAAAACACAGACCGCCAGCGCCACTCCCCGAGCGTCTGATTCAGTAGGTGTGGGGTAGGGTCTGAGAATTTGCGTTTCTAACAAGTGTCCAGGTGTGGCTGATGAGAACCGCTGAGCTAGACTACGAACAGCCAAAAAGCAACAGAGAAAGAAAGAATGGAAACTAAGCAAAGGAAGGAAGAAGGGAAGGGGTAGGGGTGACATCGTATCAGGGCAAGAAATCAACCTGAAGGGCTGGGCCCTGGGAGGTTTTCCTCTTCCTCAACCACCCTGATCTCAGGCTTACCCAGAAGTTTTCACAGTTTCCTTTAAACCCCTCCCCCACCCTCTGCGCTCTGGCCCACAGGTGAGGGCAAAAGCCCCACTTAAATGAGAAGCCTTAGAGCCTGCGCTTAAAAAGCCCTGAGGTGGCTTCTCTTCCAACACCGTTCTTCCTCGCTTCCTTGTTGCGATGCTGCAGGCTGCTCAACTGCCAGCTACCCATGAGCCTCAGTTCCTGAGGATAGAGTCCTGGAGGGTGGTTTTGTAGCTAACTTCCCCATCTTTCTCTGGCTGCCCCCGTGCACTCACAGGAGCCCTGGAAAGCCCAGAGAAAGGTAAAGCGGGGGGGGGGGGGCACATTACGATAGGATGGGTGGAGGAATTAAAAACCACAGCTCACGTTGACTCAGCTCATGTTTCAAGTTCTCCTGAATCATCAGTGAACGCGGACTTCAGGTCTGAATGTGGGTCATAAATGTGTTTGAATGTAACAGGATAGAGTGAGCCAGATACACAGGAGAAAAAAACCAAAACTTTCAAGTGGGTGTGAAAAAAACGACCCACCTCTCCAAATCTGTTAGCTGTTTGATTAGCTCCCGTTGGCTGTGGGAAAACCAAGGCACAAATGTTATGTCCGGGGGCCTAAAGCTGTTCCAGTGACAGCAGGAGGAGGGCTAGAGAGTAGTCGATGCAAAGGCAGAGAGCAGGAACCCTCCGCCCAGAGAAGAGGCACTGGGGGACCCTGGACGGGGTGAGGCCAGCTGGAGGCCCCCCTCCGGCTGCCTAGTGACCCACAGAGCACCAACTGACAAGCAGCTGCTGTGAGCTTCTCTGCCCCAGGCTGGCTCTGCAGGTAAGAGGCTGTTCTCATGTTGAGGAAAATACAAGCCTTGCCACTCAGAACGTAGAGACTTCTGCCTACTTTCATTGTTGCTATGAACTCCAGAAAAAAAAAAAAAATCGAAACAGTGAACAGATCTTCTGTTTCAAAAGACTGAAAATATTTCCAAAAGACCTGGGGCTCTGAGGTCTCTCCTCTGCCTGTTTCTCCAGCCCCAGGGGTGGGGAGCTACCATGCAGCACCCCCCCCCCCCTTAGTCCCTTCAGAAAAGCCTGTGTGTGGCTAGGGGGTGTTTCTCCCCACTGGAGAGGAGGCGGGTGATGCCTTGGACGTGCTTCCTTAAAGCCACAGGGAAAGAGTTTTCTGATTCACCACCAGCTGCTTCCTGGAATTGCAGCGCAGGACTGGCAAATGAATGGTGTTTTTCCAAGGTGATCCAGAGCTGTTACAACATTCCTGTTCAATACCCATCAGACCTTCCTGTAAGTCAAACCAGAAAGTTACCCAAACCATGCATTCCTGAGCAGTCAAGCACACGAGATTCCAGACACACTGTTTCCAACATGCCTCCATATCCCTCTGGAGACTTGAGGTCCAGTCACCCCCACGACCTCTGGACTTCCCTAGTGGGGCCATGCATTTGTCTGGCTGACATTGGAGTCATGTGGAAGCCTATGTACGGCTCCCAGTCATCCGGGAAGTGCAGGACTGTCCTGATTCCCCTAATAGGACTGTCAGCTGAGAAAGGAGTGGAGCCTTGAGCTTGCTTTGTTCTGCATTTCACAAAGACCCTTTCTCTTGACCTGCCCAGCTCTCCAGCTGGTCTGAATAGAAAACTATCTGGTCCCACACTGAATCAGTATTGGCTTTTTGTCAGAAGAAATAAGGCACTGGTTTGGGAGTGCCCCTGATTGACCCTTGGTCTGCGGGCGCTTGCTCTCTCTCTCTCTGTCTCTGTCTGTCTGTCTGTCTCTCTCTCTCCCATAAAGGAGGCATGAAGGAGAATCCAAGTCTCTCTGCTGCTTTTGAGTGTAGAGGCTTTCACTTGGGATGTACAGAGAGGGGAGAGGAGAAATTCTGGACTTGTTCTGCCTCGGAGACCACACTGCAGTGGGAAACATGGAAAAATAAACCTACTTGGTTCTACTTTCCTTATCCCTTCCCCAGTAAATGGAAAGCTACTCAGAGTGGATGTGTCTGGGGAATAAACCAGCTGGAACTGAGGACTGGGGCCTGCTCTTAACAGTGACTGAACTCCAAGCCTCCTCTAGGATGAACTGCAATAAGGCCTCCCCCACATTCCCCCTCCCCCTTGACTGATGGCTTATGGAACCTTTAGTTGGGAAATGCTGACCAAGCTGAAGGCCCCTGCTTTTAAACCCAATTCCTCCGTTACGGCAACTATAACTATAATTTGCACGGAGAGTTAAGAGTTTACAAGGTATCCTATTTTTATCCTCGTCACAGTCTTCTGAAGTAGGTATTATCATTGCTGTTGAATCAGTAAAGACAGCCAGGTTTGGGAGGGTTGGCCCAGGGTGAATGCGGAGTCAGGTTTTACATCCATGTCTCCTGACTCCGTATTCTTCAGAAGCATGGCATGATTGGCTGGGAAATCATATTTTCTAGGGTAAGGTGAGCCAGCTAAACCAGAGTTGGAGGATTGTGATTGGTGTTTGGCTTCTTTGACAGGTGTTTCCTGTTGAGTGCAGGCTGACTTCCATCGGTGACATGGGCCGGACCGCTGGGGCAGCATCTGTTCTGTGGGTCCCGGTATACGCATTAGCTTTCTCAAGGCACTAACATTTTGAGAAGATACAGATTAAATGGAGAAGTCTGCTGAGCCTGTGGCTTTGTGGCAGTGTTGGTCTGCAATAGGCACATGTGATATTGTGATTTACAATGTATATTTGGTTTGTGATCCATTCCTGGCACAGAGCTCCTAAAACACTTGGAATTTCCTGTGATAGCAATGAAGGTGTCTTTTGTGATGTTAATGGGGTGATTTTTTTATTTTTTTTTGAAGACCTCTAAGGACAGGACTGCTTGCCAGTGGAACCAACTACCTAACTAGAGAGTTAGAATGTGCAGTCTCACTCCTCCCCCATCCCTCCTATCCTCCCTCCAGTGAGAGGAGAGGGGCTGGAGATTGAGTTCAGTCATCAATGACCAATGATGTAATCAATCATGCCTACTTACTAAGGCCTCCATTACAAACCCAATGAGCTTCTGAGTTGGTGAATACTTGGAGATCTGGTGAAAGTAATGCACTCTGAGACACATGGAAGCTCTATACCTTTCCCAACACCTTGCCCTATGTATATGTCTCTTCTATCTGGCTGTTCTTGAATTAGATCTTTTTTATTTTTTGAGAGAGAGCATGCATGCATGCATGGGAAGGGGAGGAGAAGGAGAGACAGAAAATCTGTCCCCTCACTCAGTGGGGAGCCAGCATGGGGCTCTATCCCATGATCATGAGGTCACGACCCAAGCTAAAATCAAGAGCCCGATGCTTAACCAACTGAGCCACCCAAGCACCACATATCCTTTTATAATAAACCAGTAATCTAGTAAGTAAAAGCTTCTCTGAGTTGTGTGAGCTGTTTTAGCAAATTAATTAAAACCAAGGAGCAGGTAGTGGGGACTTCCACCCTATAGCTTATTGGTCAGAAGCACAGGTGATAATCTGGACTTGCAAGTGGCATGGGTGGGGCAGTCTTGGCCTTAACCTGTGGGAGCTGACTTGACCTCCACATAGATAGTGGCATAATTGACTTGCTTTGTAAGACCCTCAGCTGGACTTGCTGGGAATTACCCCCCTCATCCAAATTCCTGACCAGAATCTTAGTGGTTCTTACAGGGCTCATGCCAGTGCAGTAGCTCAGGAAGAGCACAACAAACAGGGAAGCATGTCTTATATTCTCTGTGTATCTGTATAAGTTGCAAAAGCTTTTTATTTCCCCTAAGGAATATTTCTTTTTGAGGAGTGTTAATTCAAAATGTTATTGTCTATTAATAATTTTACTATTTTTTTGAGGTATGCTTGACATGACCTCTATTGGTTTCAGGTACACAAAATCATTTGGTGTAGTGTATGTTGTGAGATGATTAGCACAATTAGTTAATATCCATCACTTAGCCTCAACTTTTGTTTTTTTCCTGTGATAAGAAATTGTAAGATTTATGCTCTTGGCAACTTTCAAATGTACAATACAGAATGGTTAACTATAGTCACATGCTGTACATTACATCCCCAGGACCTGTTTATCTGATCACTGGAAGTTTCACCCATTTCACCACACTGCCTGCCTCTGGCAACCACTAACCTGCTCTCTGTATCTTTGAGTTTGGCTTTTGTTGTTGTTTTAGATTCCACGTATAAGTGAGATCATACAGTGTCTTTCTCTTTCTGACTTACTCCACTTAATACCCTAAGGTACATCCATGTTGCTGCAAATGGCAAGATTTTACTACTTTTTATGGCTGAATGATACTCTATTTTGTGTGTGTGTTTGCCTCTCTTATCCATCCACCTGTTGATGGACATTTTGGTTGTTTCATGTCTTGACTGTTGGGAATAATGCCACAGTGAATTAACATGGGGTATATGTATCTCTTCAAAATAGTAACTTTGTTTCCTTCACGAAAATGCCCAAAAGTAGAACTGTTGGATCATATGGTAGTACTATTTTTAATATGAGGAAACTCTATATTTTTTTTTTCATAGTGGCTACATCAGTTCACATTCTCGCCAACAGGGCACAGGGTTTCCTTTTCTCTACATCCTTGCCAACACTTGTTTCTTGTGTTTTTTTTTTTTTAATGTTTATTTATTTTTGAGAGTGAGAGAGAGAAAGGGAAACACAGAATCCAAAACAGGCTCCAGGCTCTGAGCTGTCAGCACAGAGCCTCACACAGGGCTCGAACCCATGAACCACGAGATCACGACCCGAGCCAAACTGGGACACTTAACTGACTTAGCCACCCAGGTGCCACTTGTCATTTTGATAATAGTCATACTAGCAGGTGTGATGTGATCTCCTGTGGCTTTGATTTGTACTTCCCTGAAATTTGTGATACTGAGCACCTCTTTATGGATCTGCTGGCCATTTTGTATATTTTCTTTGGAAAAATGTGTATTCAGATCCTCCGCCCATTGAAAAAAATCAGGTTGTGGAGCGCCTGGGTGGCTCAGTCAGACTCCGGCTCAGGTCATGATTTCACAGTTAGTGAGTTCAAGTCCATTTGCGGCTCACCACTGTCAGTGCGGATGGAGCCTGCTTCGGATCCTCTGTTTCCCCCTCTCTCTTTCTCTGCCCCTCCCCTGCTTGCGTTCTCTATCAAAAATAAAATAAAACATTTTTTAAAAAATCAAGTTTTTTTTTTGTTTTTGTTTTTTGCTATCAAGTTGTATGAGTTCTTTATGTATTTTGGATATTACCCCCCCATCAGATGACATGCAAATATTTTCTTCTGTTTTGTAGGTTGCCTTTTCATTTTGTTAATGGTTTCTTTTTAGTATAGAGAACCTTTCAGTCTGATGGAATCCCACTTGTTTATTTTCACATTTGTTTCCTTTGCTTTGGGGTGTCAAATCCAAAACAATCATTGCAAATACTGATGGCAATGACCTTACCCCTATCTCCCCCCCCCCCCGCCTTTTTTTAAGGAGTTCTAAGGTTTTTAGGTCTTACATTCTGTTTTTAACCCATTTTGAGTTGGTGTGTGTATGTATGTGTAGTATAAGACGGTGACCCAGTTTCATTCTTTTGCTGTGGCTGTCCAATTTTCCTAACCCCATTTAGTAAAGCGATTATCCTTTTCCTACTGTATTTGCTTGGCTCCTTTGTCATAAGTTGAACATATATGGTGATTCCCATTTATAGGCTCTCCATTTTACTCCATTGATCTATCTTTTTATGCTACTACTTTACTATTTTGATTAGTATAGCTTTTTCTTTTAATGAGAAAGTTATTGTCAAATTGGTTTCCATACAACACCTAGGGCTCATCCCACCAGGTGCCCTCCTCAATGCCCATCACCCACTTTCCCTTCCCTCCCACCCCCCATCAACCCTCAGTTTATTCTCAGTCTTTACGAGTCTCTTACGGTTTGCCTCCCTCCCTTACTTTTTTTTTTCCTTCCCCTCCCCCATGGTCTTCTGTCAAGTTTCTCAGGATCCACATAAGAGTGAAAACATATGGTATCTGTCTTTCTTTGTATTACTTATTTCACTTAGCATAACACTCTCCAGTTCTACCCATGTTGCTACAAAAGACCATATTTCATTCTTATTGCCAAGTAGTATTCCATTGTGTATATAAACCACAACTTCTTTATCCATTCATCAGTTGATGGACATTTAGGGTCTTTCCATAATTTGGCTGTTGAAAGGGTTGCTATAAACATTGGGGTTCAAGTGCCCCTGTGCATCAGCACTCCTGTATCCCTTGGGTAAATTCCTAGCAGTGCTATTGCTGGGTCATAGGGTAGATCTATTCTTAATTTTTTGAGGAACCTCCACACTGTTTTCCAGAGTGGCTGTGCCAGTTTGCATTCCCACCAACAGTGCAAGAGGGTTCCCGTTTCTCCACATCTTTGCCAGCATCTATAGTCTCCTGATTTGTTCATTTTAGCCACTCTGAGTGGTGTGAGGTGATATCTGAGTGTGGTTTTGATTTGTATTTCCCTGATGAGGAGTGATGTTGAGCATTTTTTCATGTGCCTATTGGCCATCTGGATGTCTTCTTTAGAGAAGTGTTTATTGGTGTCTTCTGCCCATTTCTTCACTGGATTATTTATTTTTCATGTGTTGAGTTTGGTGAGCTCTTTATAGATTTTGGATACTAGCCCTTTGTCTGATATGTCATTTGCAAATATATTTTCCCATTCCATTGGTTGCCTTTTAGTTTTGTTGATTGTTTCCTTTGCTGTGCAGAAGATTTTTATCTTCGTGAGGTCCCAATAGTTCATTTTTGCTTTTAATTCCCTTGCCTTTGGAGATGCGTTGAGTAAGAAATTGCTGCGGTTGAGGTCAGAGTTTTCTCCTGCTTTCTCCTCTAGGGTTTTGATGGTTTCCTGTCTCACATTCAGGTCCTTTATCCATTTTGAGTTTATTTTTGTGAATGGTGTAAGAAAGTGTTCTAGTTTCATTCTTTTGCATGTTGCTGTCCAGTTCTCCCAGCACCATTTGTTAAAGAGACTGTCTTTTTTCCATTGGATATTCTTTCCTGCTTTGTGAAAGGTTAATTCGCCATACTTTTGTGAGTCCAATTCTGGAGTCTATTCTATTCCATTGGTCTATGTGTCTGTTTGTGTGCCAATACCATGCTGTCTCGATGATTACAGCTTTGTAGTAGAGGCTAAAGTCTGGGATTGTGATGCCTCCCGCTTTGGTCTTCTTCAAAATTACTTTGGCTACTCGGGGTCTTTTGTGGTTCCATACAAATTTTAGGATTGCTTGTTCTAGTTTGAGAAGAATGCTGGCGCAATTTTGATTGGGATTGCATTGAATATGTAGATTGCTTTGGATAGTATTGACATTTTAACAGTATTTATTCTTCCAATCCATGAGCACGGAATGTTTTTCCATTTCTTTGTATCTTCTTCAGTTTCCTTCACAAGCTTTCTATAGTTTTCAGCATACAGATCTTTTACATCTTTGGTTAGGTTTATTCCTAGCTATTTTATGATTCTTGGTGCAGTTGTGAATGGGATCAGTTTGTCTTTCTGTTGCTTCATTATTAGTGTATAAGAATGCAACTGATTTCTGTACATTGATTTTGTATCCTGCGACTTTGAATTCATGTATCAGTTCTAGCAGACTTTTGGTGGAGTCTGTCATGTTTTCCACATATAATGTCATCTGCAAACAGTGAAAGTTTAACTTCATCTTTGCCAGTTTTGATGTCTTTGATTTCCTTTTGTTGTCTGATTGCTGATGCTAGAACTTCCAACACTATGTTAAACAACAGAGGTAAGAGTGGACATCCCTGT